TTTGAAAGCTGGGTATGGTAGGGCATGCCTGTAATATAACTACTTGAGAGGCAGAGCCAGGAGGATCATGAATTCAAGACCAGCCCAGAAAATGTTATCAAGACCCTATTTCAAGGGAGGGAAAACTGAAGTCATGGCCTCAAGTGTTTTATCATTCCACAAGACCACCAAAAAAAGTTTCAAAAATGATCCTTTTCACTGATAAACAAGGAAATACTCATTGCAAATCTAAGTGTCATTTCACATCTATTAAATATTGAGAATTTTTTAAATTATGATGTCAGTGCTTCTAAGATTGGGGTGAAATTGGTATATATATATATATATGTATACATATATATATATATATCCATTTTTGAGGCAATAAAATGGTGGGAAGCTTCTGAAAAGTAATTAATCACATTAATCATAAATATCAAACCATAATAAGTGTTTCCATTTGGGGGAATGCATCTAGAGGAAATTGTATAATAAGAAAAAGTAATTAATGTGAACCTGATCATTGTAACATGGCTTATTATACTAAAATCAAAGATGGTGCCAGGTGCCAGTGGCTCACACCTGTAATCCTAGCTACTTAGGAGGCAGAGATCAAGAGGTTCATGGTTCAAAACCAGCCCAGGCAAGTAGTTCATGAGACCCTACCTCAAAAAAACCCATCACAAAAAAGGGCTGGTGGAGTGGCTCAAGGTGTAGGCTCTGAGTTCAAACCCCAGCACCACAAAATAATAATTAAGAAATAAATAAAGGATGGTTAAATAAGGTAAAAAGTAATATTATATAACACCAAATAATGATATTGAGACCCTATCAGAAATGCTTAAATTATAATATTACTAAAGGTAGATATATAGATAGATAGATAGATAGATATAGAAAATCTGGTTATTTATAAAACTATATGAAATGAATGTGGACGTATAGAGAGTCAGTAAGATAGATTGGAACATGGACACTCTTGGCAAAAGGTAGACTTTAGTTTTAATTCTGGCCCCACATTTGTAAGCTGTTAATTCCTGACAAGTCATTAAATTCTATGTGTTTTATTTTCTTATGTATGATAGGTATACTATAACTACCTTATAAGACAGCCATGAGAATTAAGATAGGTAATTCTGTAAAATCTAAGAGAATGTAGAGGAAATATGGGTGATTATTTTTGCTTTCTCTTTGATTTCCATTTTTTATTGTTTTAGTTTTAATCTTAAATTTAAAAAATAAATTTATTGTGTATATTTAAGTTATGAAATATCATATTATAAAGCACATATAAATAGTGAAAAGATTGCAATGAATCAAAGTAACATATTCATCATCTCAAATAGTTATCCTTTTTGTTTGTTTTGGATTTGATGCAAGAACAGCTAAGGTTTCATTTAACACAAATTTCACATACAATGAAGTTTTATTTCTGTGGTCCTCATGTGTACAATATATCACTAAACTTGTTCATTCTTAGATCTTCTACTTTGTATTTTCACTGATTTTATAATGTTTTATAATAGAGATTTTTATTTTAATTTTATATTAATCACCAAAACTATATTCTGTATAGAAACATATATCTTGTGGTATTGACAATTTGACTAACTGAAGGAATGAAATAACTACTTAGTACTAAACATCTCAAAGCACCCACTCAGCCAAATTACTTTAGTTTACCTAGTTAATAAATACCTTTTACAAGAATTAATACAGTTAAATGCCTGGGTAATTTACATTTCCTCTATTTATGTATACATTTGTATATACATGAGTACATAATATCCATCATTTGCCTCAAGGATTGTCTAGTATGATTGTAAATAAAGGCTTAAGAACTCTCCCCCCCCCAAAAAAAAAGAAATAGCTTTTACCATGTGACAGCCATTGTTCTAAACACAATTCATGGAATCCTTACAACCTTACCAAGAAAGCACTATGCCAATCTAGCAGACAAGAAACTGACATACAGATTGGTTTACAGAGTTTAAGCAGATCATATTGATAGATGTGGATGAGTCAGAATCTGACCTCAGGCACTCTGGCTTCATTGTCCAGGTCCTGAGTACAATTCTGGTGTTTTAATGGTTAGTCAAAGCAAGATCATGGACTATGTGTGGTGCTTTGCACTGTGAGGGATACAGAAAATGAAGAGTACAGTTCTTGACCAAAGATCATTTTCTAGGCTTTAGCTATGTTATCAAAATTCTGGTCCTTCAGCTTTGGAGAAATGTCATCATGTCACAATCAAATGGTAGTCATAGAGAGACATCCCTTCTCACCTGTAATGACTAAGATTCTGAATGAAAATCTCTGTAGCCTACAATTGGGATCTCTGTGGCAATGTCAGTATGTTCAGAAATGTGCTGCGAAATCTTAGAGCTTTGCAAAGGTGTCTAATGTTCTACATGTTTGACTCAGATTTCTTCTAATGCATATGTGTATATGTGCATGTTCATATGCACATCTGTGTGTAACTAACATTAAGCTAATACCACAAGTTGAAGTGACACATTCATTCAAATACACTTTTGATTATTATTGGCCTTTCTCAGATGAGTCTTTTCTATCTCTTTCTAACTGAAGAAAATTTTGAGATCCAAGGCACATTTTTTTATTGTTTTATTATTCATATGTGCATACAAGGCTTGGGTCATTTCTCCCCCCCTGCCCCCACCCCCTCCCTTACCACCCACTCTGCCCCCTCCCTCTCCCCCCTACCCCCTGAATACCCAGCAGAAACTATTTTGCCCTTATTTCTAATTTTGTTGTAGAGAGAGTATAAGCAATAATAGGAAGGAACAAGGGTTTTTGCTGGTTGAGATAAGGATAGCTATACAGGGAGTTGACTCACATTAATTTCCTGTGCGTGTGTGTTACCTTCTAGGGTAATTCTTTTTGATCTAACCTTTTTTGTAGTTCCTGGTCCCCTTCTCCTATTGGCCTCAGTTGCTTTTAAGGTATCTGCTATAGTTTCTCTGCGTTAAGGGCAACAAATGCTAGCTAATTTTTTAGGTGTCTTACCTATCCTCACCCCTCCCTTGTGTGCTAAAGCTTTTATCATGTGCTCAAAGTCCAATCCCATTGTTGTGTTTGCCCTTGATCTAATGTCCACATATGAGGGCAACATACAATTTTTGGTCTTTTGGGTCAGGCTAACCTCACTCAGAATGATGTTCTCCAATTACATCCATTTACCAGCGAATGATAACATTTTGTTCTTCTTCATGGCTGCATAAAATTCCATTGTGCATAGATACCACATTTTCTTAACCCATTTGTCAGTGGTGGGGCATCTTGGCTGTTTCCATAACTTGGCTATTGTGAATAGTGCCGCAATAAACATGGGTGTGCAGGTGCCTCCGGAGTAACCTGTGTCACGGTCTTTTGGGTATATCCCCAAGAGTGGTATTGCTGGATCATATGGTAGATGAATGTTTAGCTTTTTAAGTAGCCTCCAAATTTTTTTCCAGAGTGGTTGTACTAGTTTACATTCCCACCAACAGTGTAAGAGGGTTCCTTTTTCCCCGCATCCTCGTCAATACCTGTTGGTGGTGGTGTTGCTAATGATGGCTATTCTAACAGGGGTGAGGTGGAATCTTAGTGTGGTTTTAATTTGCATTTCCTTTATTGCTAGAGATGGTGAGCATTTTTCATATGTTTTTTGGCCCAAGGCACATTTTTTGCAAATCTGAAAAATTGTTATATTTTGATTGTTAAGAATAAGGCTCCATAGATCAAGGGCAAATACAACAAGGGGATTGGACTTTGATCACATGACAAAGCGAGAGCACACAAGGGAGGTATGAGGATAGGTAAGACACCCAAAAAAATTGATAGCATTTGTTGCCCTCAACACAGAGAAACTAACGCAGATACCTTAAAAGCAACTGAGGCCAATAGGAGAAGGGGACCAGGAACTAGAGAAAAGGTTAGATCAAAAAGAATTAACCTAGAAGGTAACACACATGCATAGGAAATTAATGTGAGTCAACTCCCTATATAGCTAGCCTTATCACAACTAGCAAAAACCCTTGGTCCTTCGTATTATTGCTTATACTCTCTCTTGAACAAAATTAGAGATAAGGGCAAAATAGTTTCTGCTGGGTATCAAGGGGGTTGGGGGGAGAGGGAGGGGGCAGGGGGGATAAATGATCCAAGCATTGTATGCACACATGAATAAAATAAAAATTTAAAAATTTAAAAAAAAAAAGAATAATGGCTCCAGAATCAGACAGTCTGGATGTCATTGTAAGCATAGGTATTTACCATGTGACATCAAGAAATGTTTCTAAATTTCTTCCTACCTCAACTTCCTAATCTATTAAATGAAACATGTATCACAGAGTTGTTAGAAATAGAACCTGTAAACTTATACGTCAAACACTTACAAAAGTGACTGAGCCAATATAAGTGCTCAGTAAATATTAAATATCACTTTTATTTCAACTGCTTATCTAAAAAATGAGTCTTTCCTTGTTACATGAAAGCAAGTCAAAATAAGGAATTACACTGAATTCTAAAACTGATATGCAACTAGAAGCTGAATTACTATTAATTTTGCACATGTTACAAATTTGAACTAATGAATATATACCAAGTAAATATTCCATGGTTAATAGATTAGGCTCTGTATAAAACTGTTAGGAAAAATATTCTGCAACTTAAATAAATCATTGCATCATAATAAAATTTATGTTTTTATGTTCTTCATTATGTTGTTGTAAGGGGAAAATTATCCTTTCTAAGTATGTTTGCTTCTTTTTCATATCTAGGCATAGTTTAAAGCATACTTTGAAGTAATGCATGTTGAAATCAAATTATAGCAAACATTAACCTCTTATCTGCTACAAGTGATATATTTTTGTGGATGGCTCTACTTATCACTAAAGATTTAATTTCCCACTGTATTTCTTTGTAGATCAATTCTTGTCTTGACAACAGGAACTAAGTAAAATGTGCAAAGGCATTTTTAAATAAATGACCCATGTTTTGTTTCTTTCTGTCTTTCCTTACAGTCATTCCCAACACAGCACTGCAACCCGTCAGCCTTCAGTGACTCTCCAACGGGCCATCTCCCTGGAAGGGTAAGAGAATAATACAGTACCTCTCCTTACTGGGTACCCTTTAAGCATAAAGTCCTTCATCATTCCTACCTCCCTTCATCCTCCTCCTCTCCTCTTTCTCCCCCAATCCCCATTCCCACTCACACTGGAAATATCTATGAGGCTTGTGTTATGTGCCAGGTGCTAGATTTAGCAAGTCAAATAAGATCTCATCTTTCCTTTTCACAGGGTTCATTGTCTAGGTGACTGACAGAAATATGAACATATACTTGCAGTACAGCGTAAATATTATGCAAATCAGGAGCTATGTATAAGAGATTGATGGAGGATCCAGAAAGGGTACTTGACAGAGAACAGGCATCAAAGAGGAAGGGGGAGCAGGTCAGGGTGGTTTCAGAGATGAAACTCTCTTTCTGAGATGCACCTCCAGTCCTTGATATAATGTATGAGATGAGAATTGAATTATCTGTGGATATTTGCCTAATATCGCAGTTCATGAATATTCCTTCAAGAAGGTGAAACAAAATTAACATTTTTGAGTGCTTATTAGGTGTGAAGCTGTATATGTATTTCTTTCTTTCTTTCTTTCTATCCATCTATATATCATTTCTATCCATTGATCTGTTTTATCTCATTTTATTCCCAGAATAGCCCTGTGCATTGATGCACAGAGAGGTAAAGTAATTAAGGACACTTATATAAAGAGGAGCACAGCTTAGATCTGAAATCAAGTCTGACTCTCGTATATAACTCTACCCCTATAATGTGAATGAAAATACTTTATTGAGCTAGAAAGCGCAGCTCACACAATTTATCAACCACATTCAGGCCTAGAAACACTTAGCAAAAAATTTCCTAGGGCAAAAATGACAAAGACTGACTGGTAATCGGGTCCAATCTTAGAACCATTAAACGAAATCTATAACTTACTGCTGTGGATGTTCTGGAGGTGTGTGCACAGGTCCTGTGGCTGAGGCGACTTTTGATGTGGAGGTGCAGATGTAGAGACAAACATTACCACTTTTCTGTACTTCATCTTGTTATTCTTTATGAAGAGCTTTCTGGGCAGGGTGCTGGGTGACTAACATTTCACATTTAGGTCATGAATGCAAAGACTTCCTCTGACAATGCTAAATAATGGCATTTACTTCTAAAAAGCTATTTCCCAAGCCTTTGTTTGCTTTCTTTTTATTAACAAAAGTATAATAGCACTTTGCTAATAAGCATTTTGTTTCAGCTTTTCTACTTGAGTTAAATGAACTCTGCCATAGACATAATCACTAATTCTAATTCTTTAATAAGATGAAGTAGCAAAAGGGTCTCCCCTTTGGGGTATTGGCCAACTTTTTTTTAAGTAGCAGGTATATATTAGACTCTTAATAAATACTAGTTGAATATATATCTAGTCCAGTTATTCTTTAAAAAAAACCAACAAAATTGAGTTGTAAATACAGATTTATTTCAAGAACACTTTGAATTCTTCCTCTAAAATATATGTATACGTTTATGTAAAATGCTTCTGGGTATTTTTATTTTATTTTATTCCATTTGTTTTATTGTTGTTCTGGGGGTACATTGTGGCATTTACAAAAGTTCTTACAATGTATCAAATATATCATACTTGAATTCATAACCTCCACTGTTCTACTTTATCCTCTCTCCCCCCATTCTTGGAATAGATTCAACAGGTATCATTTTTGCATTTACATACATATGTACCCAGTTTTTCCACCATATTCACACTTCTACCCTGATTCCCCACCATCTCCCCCTTCCCACTGGTATTAATCTATGCCCCCCCACCCCAATCCAGGCAGGACCTGTTCCACAATCCTGTTCTCTGATTTTGTAGAAGAAAAAAGAAAAAAATGACATTTTTGCTTATTTGAGATAAAAGTAGCCTCACAAGGAGTTTCCTTGTGATATTTCCATGTATATATGTATTATAACCCCAAATGGTTCATCTCTTTTTCTTCATTTACCTTAGAACCTTTCTTATGGTGACTTCAGCCAGTTTAAGAATTCCATATTCATTCTTGTATAGATAATATATCAACCATATTCATCTTCTTAGTTTCTTTCTTTTACCCAACCCTCTCATATGTGAAAGGGGTTTAGTATGACCAGTTTTTCAGAATATTGCTGTATTTATATTAGGTCTATATTCCACATATGAGAGAAAACAAGTGGCTTTTGGCCGTCTGAACCTGGCTAACTTCACTTAAGATGATGTTCTGCAATTCCATCCATTTACCTGCAAATGACAAAATTTCATTCTTCTTTGTGGCTGAGTAAAATTCCATTGTGTATAAATACCACATTTTCTTAATCCATTCTTTGGTAGTGGGGCATCTTAGCTGTTTTTGTAGCTTGGATACTGTGAATAATGCTGCAATAAACATGGGTGTGCATGCAGGTGACTTTGTTGCAACCAGACTTATATTCCTTCAGGTATATCCCTAGACGTGGAATTTCTGAATTATATGGTAGGTCTATTTTTAGTTTTGTGAGGAGCCTCCATACTGTTTTCCATAGTGGTTCTACTAATTTACATTCCCACCAGCAGTGTATGAAGGTGGCCTCTTCTATTTAGAGACCATTTCTTTTGTTGTACAGAAGCTTTATAATTTCATGTAGTCCCATTTGTCAATCCTTTTTCTTAGTTGCTGAGCCATTTGAGTTCTATTGAGGAAGTCATTGCCTATGCCTATTAATTCCTGTGTATTTCCCACTCTTTCCTGCACTAGCTTCAAAGTTTCAGGTCTTGTATTAAGGTCCTTAATCCACTTTGAGTTTTTACGTGTACATGGTGAAAGACGTGACTCTATTTTCAGTTTCCGCAGGCAGATATCCAGTTTTCCCAGCAACATTTGTTGAAGAGGCTGTTGTTTCTGCATCACATGTTTTGGGCACCTTTGTCAAATTAGGTGGGTGTAGCTGCATGGATTCCTACCTGGGTCTTCTATTCTGTTCCACTGCTCTTCATATCTGCTTTTGTGCCAGTACTTTGCCATTTTTATTGCTATGGCTGGATATTTAACAAAACATTTGGGGATGAAATAATCTCACATCTCTGGGACATTTAAAAGGAAAAGTCTCAGTAATTCTCTACAAAATCTAGAACACTGAAGTTCATGCTATATGTATCCAACTGGCTAGCTATCAGTCCAAGAGGCAATGTAGCATATAATTATTGTCACTGAACATATAATGGGAAAGTTATTTTTCATTTTACACAAACTAATGAGTCCTTAGCAGGTTTCCCATTACAGTGTTAAACTGCTTACTGTAGGCAATCAGCTCAAATTGGAAATTCTATTATTTTAAAATTCTTCTTCCTAATGCTTTTGTGAAAACAACTACATAGGATTTTTTTTAATGAATGTAGTTTAAAGGGACATATGCTTATATAATTTTCACCTCTATTTCTTTTTACTTGACATAAAATAACTGGAGATATTTCTAGTTTCACATTAATTTGATCCATTGAGACTACAAAATTGCCTAACTGAGCCCTCCTCCACAGTCACTGCTGTTTTTAAATTGATATCTGAATTATCTATAACAATGCCAGAGAAAATGAGACAGAACACCCCATTAGCAGTGTGAGCTCTGTGCTTGACAGACACAGCCCACACCTGAATCTCATCTTCCTCCAGAGATGCTATTAAAAGGAAGCTAATAGAATTTTAAAAGGGACAATCCCATAGTGATAAAGGAAATGGAAGGAGGCATGTAAAACCAAATGTCACATTTCTGAACAACAGAAAGCCAGTGGAAAGGTGTTGGTGGATGAAGTAGAACAAAATAGTCCCTGCTTTAGGTCACCCATGGAATGTGGACCAACTGCAGAGAAACCTTTCACATCTTGGATAGTTGTCTCCCCTTATCTGTGAGGGATAGGCCCTGGACCTCCAGTGGATGACTGAAAGTACAGATAGTGTTGAATCTGTAATTACTGCTTTTTCCATTCTCCCATGTGGAGGGACTTACAGCTTAATAGGTAACAGATATGCCTAGCAGAACCCAGGAAATTCAAAGACCTCAGGTAAGTGACAATAGATTGGACTGATTGCGGGTTCTGAAAATAGGAATAAGGCACTTCCACTCAGCATGCATACCCTGCATACAGGACTCTGCGGGCAGTACCTATCACCAGTCAAAAAAAGAAAAAGAAGACTCTTCTCTGAAGAAATGCGCTTGCTCTCTTTGTGAACATAAATGAGCTCACTTGAGTATTGGCCCCCATAGCAATGCCCTTTACTGTGTGATAGTTAGCAGGAAAATTTCAGATTTGCCTGAGCTAACCTTAAGCCTTTCCATTAAAACACCTATTCTTTTACACCAGCCCCCACCCCTTGCCAGCATTTCTACTACTTCATTCTTAAATATGAACAGACAGCCACAAGTAACCAAGCATTGTAACAAAACCAAATGGTTTTTTTAAATGAGACAAAAACACACATTCAAAGACAAAAATCATTCTAAAGAAACAGCTGATTCTGGGAACAAAATAGAATTTAAAGAAATACTCAGTATAAGCATATGTTTTAGCAATAGAATTAAAATTGAAATGGTTAGAAGAGATTGCTTTTGTGAAGCCAGGTAAGATTCTCAAGGGAGGAGTCACAAATAAGATTTTTAGGAATGTCTTTGGAGCAAGGTCAAGGTTTAAAAAGAATAGAAAATCACATACAAAAAAAAATCTAGAAGTATTCTGCTTGCACTGCTAAGAAGCACTTCAGCTACTCAATAAAATTTGTTTCATCCAGCAGAAAGCTCTTTATTTTATGTTACCTTACAAGTTTACTTTAGAGGCATACTTAGAAGAAGCATTTTTTTAGTAAGCAATGTTTTCACATCAGTGATACAGGTGCACTTACCAAGAAACTTACTGAATGGCCATCTTTAGGAATACTACAGAAGGAATTCTGTAGTAGCGGAAAGGTCACTCAAATTGGCCCCTACCAAAAATCTCTCCCAAATTCAGAAATCTATCCACACCCTAAAGAAATCCAAAG